GGCCCACGAGTCGTCAAGCGCGGCAGTCGCGGCGGGTCCGATCCGCGACTGTCGCGAAGTAGATTGTCTACTGTGACTTGAAGTCCTGTGAATAGATCGAGAGGGGGTATTCGCTTTAGCGTTGACGCTTGAGCGGATAATTTCCCGTGGGATAGTATTGCCGATTAATTTATGCTAGCGTTAATTCGTTTCGGGTACGCGTGCCCGCAAATGGCCGAGCTTTGCGGCACACTTGTTTTTTTCATGTTGTTGTAGGCTGTTAGTCGTGTCGATTACGTCGCTTTTGGGTATTTTGTGAATTGAATGTGGTTGTTGATTGTCGTCGTTGTTGTTGTTGTGCTTGTTGTTGTTGTTCGTTGGTGTTGCTGTGCGTTAGTCAGCCATGCCTTGCGCGCTTGTTGCTGTCTTTGTTGCTGCTGTTTTCCACCTGGCAGCGACAATCGATGATAATTTGTCGAGTAGCTTTAAAGCTTTAGTTCGATTAGTAGCGGCTGTTGAGCTTTCTCGTGGGCGAGCCTGCACGTTATGTGTATTGTGTGCGCCGGTGGGTGTGGTGTTGTGTGTGTGTGTGTGTGTGTGGTGTGTGTGATGTGTGTCGTGTGCTTTGTGTGATGTGTGTGTGTGTGCGTGATGTAGTGTATGTCGCTGTGTTGTGTGTGTGCTTGGGTGTGTGCGTGTGTGCCGTGTGCTGTATGTGCCCTTGTGTGCTGTTGTGTGTCCGTGTGTGTGTGTGTGTGCGTCGTTGCGCTGGCGCGGCATTGCGCGGCGCGCGTTGTGGTATGTGTGTGTGTGTGTGATGTGTTGCGTGCGTGTGTGTGAGTGGTCGTGTCCGGGCCTGGCCTGTGTGTGTGTATGTGTGTGTGCTGTGTGTGTGTTGTTGCAGTGCGCCTGCGCACGCGCGTGTGTGTGTTGTGTGTGTGTGTGTGGCGCACTGGTGTGTGTGTGTGGTGTGTGTGTGTGTATGTGTCGTGTAGCTTGGGGGGGCTCGTGTGCCGTGCGCCGTGCGCCGCTGTGTGTGTGTGTGTGGCCTGTGTGTTGTGCGGTGTGTTGCGCGCGCGCGAGCGTGCTGTGTGTGACGTAGTCATGCTGTGCGTGTAAGAGGGATCTGGGCATACGCCAGGAGTGAATGTTAGTAAAGAATT